AGGAATCCTGAAGTCAAATGTAAGACCTTTTAAGACCTTTTTTAAGACCCTTTCCATACATTTCAAGACCTCATCGCCACTTGGAGTTTTAACCGGTTACATTGGCGACACACTTTACCTCACATTTACTATATACGGTATTGATTGTCCTTCCTCCTTATCTTCCAACCATTTGGACGCAGAATTGCATTTCCCCATAACGATGTTGTTTAACAACCGGCGTAAACGGACCTTCGCGCGCTATCAAGCAGTGAGCGTGCGATGTGCTGTTCAGATGACGTCAAATCCAACGGGATGCCATAAATAAACTACACAGAATCACACTACACACCTACACAATGATTACATTCAGACACACTGTAGAATACAACCTCTTTGGACAATTGATATACTTATTGAAAACAAGCTACAAAATGTTATACCTTGGAAAATTCCAAAAGTATCCTTTATTAATCATCAATATGATCAAAGTTACAAAATGCTTCTGGTTTGTTCTTAGTCCTCCTGGATAAAGCTGTCAGTTTCTGCTAAAAGAGACAAACGTAGACAATGACGTTATCTAAGAAAACACAGACATGGTAGAGTAAGATGTATGGACCCCTGGTACATGTAGCTATCATTTGAGAGCAACTCACTGCATCAATGAAAATGCTTTCAAGAGGTATGGTCTCAGATCATTGAATTTTAACCAAGATTTCTCTTTTGCGCAATCCTAAGAAGTATTGTTCTCAGTTTTTTTAGATTGGTACTCTAAAATCACTCATAAATGGACTTATTCCTTGAACAACCTTAAAAATGTTTAAGACAACTGCTACCTTGAAATGCTATGATGGGTTTCTTACTGACACAAAATAGATGTCCGCATGAAGAATACATTTGCATGAACTAAAAGGACTTTTTTGTTTAATGAACAAATTCAAATTTTAATCAAACAGATACAAACCGCACAACTTAATTTAAACACATTTTAACTTGTTTTACCAGCCACAAATAGCCATAGTACAACCTTGCAGATTTGATTTCAGCCTATCTAACAGCATGCACATTATGCATGCAGATTGCTCAGATTCTTTACTGATGTCAGAACTTACAAGGAACTGCAGCTCATCCTGGGTCTTTTGCCACCCCAGTTGGACATTCCTCGAGCAAAGTAAAAATTGAGTCAATAAATGTGGATCTTCTCCTCAGTTTGATGCATCTGAATCAACCAGATTCAAGTCATGTTTTTGCATTTATTTATGTCTTGACTTGTTTGCCATTGCCCAGCCTCTGAAGTTTCATCAGCTTTGACCCACCTTGAAGCTTTAAGTTTATCCAACAGAATCCTCATACACAATTAGATTTTCTATAATTACTGTAATACAACGAGATTGTCACTGAAAAGCAGGCTGCCACACGTTGCTTTAGAATAAGCGTCTTTGTATCACATGTGGGTACAAATGTGCTCCAGATTGTTTTGAGCACAAAACGTAAATGCTTTACGGCATGGCAAATTGCCCAACAGTACATTGAGAAAGCATGTCTATATTATTCTAGTTACATTATTGTAACTGACCAGTTTGCACCCGTATACCCTCAGAAATGTCCTTTAGGTTTATTGGCTTCCTAAATCCTAGGTCAACTTATTACTACTTTCTGCATATTTGTTTTTCTTCTAATTATGCAATAGTGAAAGAAAGTTAGCAGTAGCAATTGTATCCACATATTTTCATAAGGCATATTTTTCATTCAACAGGCTTCAGCTCATAACATATACTGTATTTAACATTTTAGTTTAGAATTTAGCTCAAAGCCACCCTCTTCTGTCTGCGCCATTCCTTTATTTTCCATCTTGTCTCTCTGTAATACAATGAATAATGGACCAGATATGGTGGGCAAAATAATATTAAAAACTTATCTCATTTCCTCTTTTCTTTCTGAAAAAAAGTATTGAATTTTCTCAGCTTGTTTGGTCTGTCTGTGTCTATGTATGGTCACAATATTCACAGTGTCAGCATCAAAAGTAATGCCTCTCAGTGTCCTGCGTCTGTCACATAAATGTAATAATACTGATCTGATTTGATTCGTCTGCTGTTCATTAGGTACCGCCGTGGGCAGACGCAGCACATGGAGATGAGATTCCGTATGTATTTGGCCTACCGATGATCGGGCCAACAGAGCTGTTTCCCTGCAACTTCTCCAAGAACGACGTGATGCTCAGCGCCGTGGTCATGACCTACTGGACCAACTTCGCCAAAACAGGGTACGATGACACCACAAATACATAGCTCCTCATGGCCAATACAAGTTGCTTTCTACGTGCTTTCCCTATGGACAGGGAACTCTGTCAAAACTTGTTTACTGATTTCAATTGTAGCGTAAGTTGGTTTGAAAGTCCAGGTTTACTACAAACCTACAAAACTAGGTTACTGTCTTTCTCCAGGGATCTTAATGCTTAAATGTTACCATGTTTGTGCAGTGAGGATATAGGACTAGAGAAACCTGGTTCCCCTAGCTAGATTTCTCTTGGGACAACAATGTCTCAGCTATGTATAAGGGAAACTGGGTCTCTAGCAGCTTTTAAAACTGTGTTGGTGCACAACAAAGACTTCATTTGGTGGGAGAGTAACATCCGAGCAGGTGGATGATAGGAGAGATCTTTACATAGAGCAATGCAACCTTGAGTTTATAAATCACTACTGCTGAACATTTACTAAATGTTATTTAGAGTGGTCCAGTAATGAGTCCTATAAAACCCGAAAATGACATTTAAAGACTAAACACGTCTCAAAGTCAACAGCTTTTTAAACGTGTTTGTTATAAGATGCCTGAAAAGGGTCTGTTGGTAACACAAGCTTAAGACTCACGTTTTATTCTACCACTTAAATTACATCAGTAAATACCCAACTCGTTGATGATTGAAGCTTTCTTGTGTGGTTAAAACTGAGGTTGCTAACAAGTAACCTCATAATCTATTAAACGTCATCACGCCGAACATTAACCACCTTTAGCATAGCAGTGGTAGTTCGATTATAGCCTAACGTTAGCTTTTTACTTCTGCTGATTGTATTAATGCTTCAGAAATCCCAAACATGTTAACTATGATAAGTGTGTGTTGGCCACAGAACTTATTTTCTGCAATATACCAAAATCCAATATAAATATTCCATTGATTTTTGGTAAGGGAGCCGTTGTGAAAGTTCCGGTACCCTACACAAATACGTCATCACTGCACTACTCTATTAAGACACACGCTGACCATGAAGTGAGGACATTTCTTGTCCTCCTCAGCCTGCTCTGACACTGTCACAAAAACAAAATATTCGAAAAACAGGACTGACACTATAACAATTAAAATAAGAGGATTATGGTTTCAAAGTAAGATCAGCTGTATAGGAGAAGTAACTCATATTACTGACTGGCTGCATGAGCTCTTCCAGGCTGTATTGCACCATAAATACTGTTAAGACTTTTTCTCCAAATGATCTGTCCAGTCATTGTCCCTGGAGCAACCTGATTTACAAGCATGGTCTAATTATACATATAAGTTTTGTATAAAGGTCAGCCATGAGGTTATATAAACCATTTTTGTTGCCATCTGCTCTGTAATTCCTCAAACAGCAATTGACAACATGCAATTACCTTTACAAGACCATGAAATAATTGATAATTTCATTGTTATTGTGTTCCCTCAATATTAACCTATATTTGATGACCAGGAGTTGTGCTATCATGTTTTATGGACTGTACAGTGTAATTGGTATTCTACGCAGATACCCTATCTTCAAATACATTCTTAATTATTGGCCGTAGCCTGCAGAGTGACATTTTCGATAGGATAAAATTAAAATCATTCTCCCTCCCTTCTGTCTCGCCTGCCTTAGAGCATATAGTCATGGCGGTAATTGTTTTTTGAGAGCGTAATGGGGGGACATTGGCTTTTTCTGTGCACTGCCCAGTAGCCCTAAGGGGAAGAGAAAGGCCTAATGATCTACATATATAACCCCAAATTGACGTGGAATGCCGGGTACCTGGGAGATTTATGCCGCCAATTTGAATGGTTAAGCGTGTTCCTGATGAGGTCGGGCTGCCTCCATATGCCGTTTTCAGACAATGGGGCTCTCAGTGACTCAGAATGGGCCTCCATAGCTCTCTCATGGCTGGCTCTGTTCTGCTCAGATTAAGTGAAAGGGGGTGTATTTAGCACCGGAGCCCATGTGAAATGTGCTCTGTAAACTATGCAGTATATACAGCATATAAAAGGGGAGTTCAAATGGGGTTTCAGACCTGCCATTTACAGGGTAGCTCAGCCTTGTTTTATTATGGCCTAATTCCGATGGTATATAAAAAAATCGTAGCTTTTTCTTAGTTTGGGCTATAGTAGCTACTATATGGTTGATGAAAATGTTGCTTGAACTGCATCTTTACCTAAACAAATTCCAATAGATATTTGTAATGTATAAATTATAATGTATATAAAGAGTTTAATTCTAGACGCGCATCCTCAATTTAAAAATGGTGACATGCTAATTTGGCATTTGAATAAAACTTGAAATTATTAAGAAGGCTTCTTATATTTTCATTCAATCAGAAAACAGAAAACCAATCATCGGCGGGCAAAATTACCCCATTTGACCTTTTTTTATCAGGTGCGAAACTGTTGATTAATCGACCAATTTCATGAAACCTTGGGACTGCGTTTCAGTATTTTCATAATTGCGTTGATTAGCCTGAGGGAGATGCTACAACATTTTAATAAACAGTCTCAAAAGGTCTACCAGTGTTTCCCACAGAATTCGATTCTATTTGTGGGGGCACCGCACCGCACCCACCCCCCCCTAGGCAAGAAAAGCCAAAGGCCCCTTAACCTATTCGGGTGGTCCATGCATCCACCCCCCCCTCAAATAAGATAATACATGCGAGTTCATGGCTACTGTAGACAACGATCTTGTTGCTCTGTGTTCATTTACAATTTACAATTCAGGCATTTTGCAGACTCCATATTCCAAAGCGACTTACAATGACCAATTACAGCAGTGGTCACCAACCTTTTTAAGCCCAAGATCACCGACCTCGGCCTAGGTGAAAGGCGAGATCTACCTACATATGAGTGTAAAAGACGGCCCAGACAGTGCTTCCAATTTGAGGCCTTTTATATAGGCTAATTGCATCTGTATTACTGTTACAATGAAGGCTCCATAATCAGCTCACGGCATATAGGCAGGGGTAAAGTGCTATTGGGGGGCGGACCTCACCTCCTCAAGGGGGGATGTTCACCCGGGAAGATTTTTTTTTAAATATTGAAGTTGAAAGCATCAATCTGGTGCACTTTGAGAGCAACATGAAGAGATCTATGGATACCTCTCTCAGCACCCATATGAAACAGAACTGTAAACACATTTTCTTTTTCTTTATGGATATTTTACAAATCACATTCAACTGTATTCTTGTTTTACTGCCATATAGTAGGCTATTTCATACCTGTTTTTCATTTATTCTCTTATTGTTTGTATAACTATAATGATCATATAAAGGTGTGCCGCGGAAATAATCTTTTGAATAATTTGTGACAAAACTGTTCTAAACACTCAAGAGTCCTTTAGCTCACCTGAGCCCCTCAGTCTGACAGGAGAGGACTCCTCCAGCTTGTTGTGGAAACGGCTCCTTATGTCCGTTGGTGCAGCTAGCTAACCAGATGCTAATATCACGGTCCCCGCTAGCACCGGTCCCTCTCGCCCTCACTCCCTCTCTCCCTCTCTATCTCTCTCCCTCTCTATCACACTAAATGCGCTATCGCCACACACACACAGAGCCGAGCTTGAATGACACAAGCACACGTGTATTTCCATGCAACTCTCTGATTGGGTCTGGTGTGTTGTCTCTGTTGCGTTCACTGAACACGGGAAATTACAGGTCCTGCCCGTCGCTCTTGTGTCCAAGGATGAGGTTCACGTAAAGCACGGTTAATGTATTATATTATTATTGAGTGTCTCAAATATACGGTCAATCAAGTGGGAACCTGCTAACGGGGTGGTTGGATGATAGGTTTACATCTAAAAACGATTTTTTCAAACATTATTATTTTAATTTTCCTTTTCTTTCCTTTTGTTTACCTTTTTTTAACGGTCCCCGCGTCTACCCACGCGCACGCACTCCGACCTGGTTGGGCGACCACTGAATTACAGGGACATTCTCCCTGGAGTAAACGCGAGGGCATCAGTGGCGTTACTCAAGGGCAGCACAGTAGTGTTGTTCCAGGCAGGATTTGAACTCGCAACCTTCCGATCATCGCCACCTCACTATCCATTAGACCAGTGGTTCCCAGCCTACCGGAAAAAAATAAAAAAAAAAAAAAAAAAAAATAATATATATTTTTTTTTATGAGATCCATTTGTGGTGGACGATATTTAATTGTAGCGGCCTGCTACAAATAAATCAATGTATGGGAAACACTGTCTACTCTACTCTACTCTACCATTAATTTAACATTAGTTCTTCATGTGACCTTAAGAAAACAACTTCAAAGTAACATCACTACTGGTGAGTAGAGGACTGAATCTTTAATGGGAGGCAATGTGTTATCCCCTGCATTGTTTCAGATGTGCTTGTATTGTTCTGCCAACACATTCTCACTCCCTGATAGTCCAATAGCGACGCTTGGTCAGGGTCCTTTGGCGTGCAGTTGTGACGCACTGAGGCTCCTTCAGCTTCATAAACGGACGCAAAGAGCTTTCAACTGATTGCGATTCCCATCGGCGGGAATGGGCGCTCACTTTAACTGCCGCCGACATGGACGGATGCGGTGCTTCCCTGAGCGTCAAATACCGCCGCCGATGGGAATACATTGCAATAAGTTGAAAGATCCACAGATCTCACATCTCTATGGATTTTTTAATAAGCAACCCTTTTAATCTTTTTCTCAGGGATCCAAACCAACCTGTCCCCCAGGATACCAAATTCATCCACACCAAGCCCAATCGCTTTGAAGAGGTGGCATGGACACGCTACAACCAGAAAGACCAGCTTTACCTCCACATCGGCCTGAAGCCCCGCGTCAAAGAGCATTACCGTGCCAACAAGGTATAGTTAGAAGCTACTAAATGCACTTTCGTTTTGAATGTTGATAATACCTATACCTTGTTGTGAGAACAATGTATAGTTAGAAGCTACTAAATGCACTTTCGTTTTGAATGTTGATAAAAATACTAGCAGAACTGAAAACGATAACAATCAGGGAATGGATTTATTTGATTGTTGGAAGTATATTTGGTTAATTAATATAAGATGTTGTTGTATCATAGGGCTGCCTCTCTTTTATTTAGAATTGATTACAATGTTAACGTACGCTGCACAGATAATCCTATCTGGAGAAGCCATGAATAAAAGAGTATTTGATCCAAATGTATCAACAGGCTAACTGTTGACCAATCAGATCTCAACAGTCCCTGTCAGTATCAACTGTAGATTTGCTTTCCAATATAAATATAACAATAGTCATCATACTTATTGTTTGCATTATCATTCAGTCAAACATTCTTTTATGGATGACCACCTTGCCCTTTAGTTGCATGACTTTTACTTCATTTGAGATATTGGCATCCATGTAGTCACAATGAATACATTGCCATAGTTAGACCCTCCAGAAAAACGCGGGCAAAAATCCTTAATTATGCGGGCTAAATTCCTTGATTATGCGGGCTAAAATCCTTGATTATCCGATTAAACATGCGGGGTTTTATGTGATTTTATGCGGTGAAATTGCGGGAAGTTAGGAAATATGCGGAAAGTTGCGAAATATGCTAAATATGCGGGGGAAAAGAATAACAATTTTTTAAAATATTGGGCTGTCTTATTTATTCTCTCTCACACACAACCTGCCACTAACGTTAAACCCCTTTACTATTCAATTAAACACATTCAATGTTTATTTATTGTAAAAGCAATTGGGCTATTTTAATCTCACACACACACACACCACCACCCCCCCCCACACACACACACACACACACACACACACTTCTCCGCCTCATTCTGTTTTCATTTACTCGTTCGTTATCTGACCAGCTTCAATCTTGTAGGCTACTCACTTCGTTTCTTGTAGCCCTCGAAAGGGTTTTGGAGGTTGATTCCTCGGTGAACGGGAGTTGAATGGCTTTCTTGTCCGCAGCAGCAGAAAGCATTTTCGAATGTTTGAATGAATCAAAGTGGGTCGCCACCGTCGATTTTCTCTTATGCTGCAACACACAGTTGCACGGGGTGCAGAATAGTTTCCCCCCACTTTTTGCCCGGTCTTTAGTAGAAATGTTCGTTGGTAAATGAGCTCTATACAGTGTTGTTTACATTCTGTGATGCGCGAGCTGATGACGTCACGTCAAGACGAGTTAACTTTTTTTTCTTCTCAACTTTGTGTGGAAAAATATGGGGATTATGCGGCCTTTTGATAAATATGCGGCTTTTTAAAAATCTGCGCCATTTGGCTGATTATGCGGTAAATTCTGCGATCGCAGAATCGCGTTTTTCTGGAGGGTCTACATAGTGTAATGGTGCATTGATTTTGAGACGCTCCTCTCAATGCTCTTCACATTTATGGTTTCCCTTCATTTATCTCCAACTTCTCTTTTCCCTCTCCCCAGGTCAACTTGTGGTTGGAGCTGGTTCCTCATCTGCACAGCCTCAATGATGTCACCCAGCTCATCCCCACCACCACCAAGGTTGGTACTAAAACCTCTTTAGCTTATCCTGCTTCTGAAAATAAACTACGTGAGTCATTCTCTTCAAAGGTTTTGGAGAAGCAACTGTAATAAAATAATTTAAAGATCATTATTGTGATGGTTTGTTGACCTAACTTAGGTCAACAAATACAAATACTACTTATGTGTTTAGACAAGATATTAGCGATGGGAATTACGGCTCTTTGAAGGGAGCAGGATCTTATGGCTCCTTTCCTTTGTGAGAGCCGTTCAAAAGAGCCATTCTTTTTTTAAGGGGGCGGGGTTACTAGGTTTGTCTTCGAAACATACCTTTTATAATTCAATCAAATGTAAGCCTGTTTTGACTAATGATTTATATGTGTACATATACATCACTGACATTATTCAATACATCCTTTGTACTGAAGTATTCAAAAGTAAAAATTACATATTTAATATAAATGATTTTCTGTGGCCAATTGTTTTCATTGCATTTACAGACCCTGGTAACTCTCTGATTGTAGAACCACGCACAAAAAAAGAAGCAGATAGCAACACCTACAAACTGACAACAGATCTTTTCTGAGCCTAAAAATAATCATAAATAAATAACATGACCAAAATAAATATATTGCAATGCTCAAAACAGCAGCATCCAACAGTCTCTAATCATTGGATATTACATGTCACTGCCTACATGCACGGAGCACCCGTAGCGCGGAGATCATCATATCATTATGGCTTGTTTTACTTAACAACAAAAAACAAAAACAAAAAAACTCTTTGAGCCGCCTCGTTCGCCTCGTTCATCACTACAAGATATGACAGACATGATACATATTAAAGAGTTGAACATTAAATGCTCCTTATACAGAGGTAGAAATTCCCATGTGTTCACACGATCAGCCCAAATTTGACGTAAACATCAGCTTTATGTTTTCATCCTATATTTGTACAGTATATCAGGTATTATAAATAATGTAAACATAGAGTTTAAGTAAAGTAGACTTTTGGGAAGTTACATTTATTGAAATAGGTTTTGTGTTTAACGGGTTGGGTTTTTTCATGTCTCGCATACCTTACCTTACTGGAGATTGGCTATGGCTCCCCATATAGTCCATTGATGGGTATATCGATATTTGGAATGCGTCCCCACCAGAAGAATAACAGTGTTGGTCATTTGATCAAAAGCTTAAAGAAATGGTTTACCATTTTGAGAAACACATTTATTTGTTGAAAGTAAAAACAAAAGGGATCAATACCACTTCCATGTGTTTGCATTAAAGTTACATACTATAAGATAAATAATTGTTCGCCTGATAAGGACAGCTTTTATGTTACATATGCATTTGTCATGATTACATAACTAACACAGATAGCTAGTCGACAACAGCTACAGAGCAGAACATCAACCAAGTGCCATCCCAGTTATGAATACACCCACAAACAGTCAATCAAATATTATCCAGTTTCATCAAACTCATCTGAGTGCTGTAAGGCCTTATGCTCATTTCCTAAGAGATTGTACAACCCTCTCCCCAATATCACGTTGCAATAGCAGCTGTTAGGGGGGCAGAGTGGGACTTGCACAGTTTATCTCTATTCAGTGTAGCATCAAATCATTTTGCAGCTGTTATTTGAGGATGAAATTTAACGTAATGTTGCTTCAAGTATGAAGCTAGAGTTAGGTGATAGCTTTGCATTTAAAGATGGAGCTTCCTAGAAAAATCTGTCCAAAGGGTGTGAGGTCCATACACAAACATTTGCTATGATTAGGTTTGGTTTGTTAGATAATACTTGCACAAGACTTAAGTCCGCAGACTGTGCAGACTTATGCTCACTTTCCAAGTTTGATGACATCTAATATTTATTCTATACATCCAAACATTCACTATTTTTATTGTATACTGTAAAGAGAAACATTACAGAATACAAATATACCAATCATTTGTTCTATTTCATGCATACATCTATATTCAAACATATACAAGTCAGTTTTGGACCAATGTATATCATGAACATCGCAAACATCTGCAAGTTACGATTGGTCAGGCTTCAACGTGCAATCCAACTCATTTTCGGAGGCGAGTCGCAACAAGAACTCTGTAATATTAGCTTTGCATTCATGGAGCTTACCGGAAAAGTCTGTCCGAAAGACGTTTGGTCCATACACAAATATTTGCAATAATGAATGTTTGGTTTGTTACTTGCACGAGACCTTAGTGTGCAGACTGTTGAGTTAAGATTTTTCTCAAAAAAACTCTTCATAGTTTTTAATTTACCTCCTGTTGACAGATCCCTCCACCGGAGTCTACCAACCGCCCCCCGAAGACCAAGCCTATGGTGACCAAACGCCCCAACCCGACTCCGTTCCCAACCGAGACCCAGGACAGCCACCTCCAGCCACACCTGGTGGACCAGCGCGACTACTCCACCGAGCTGTCGGTGACCATCGCTGTAGGAGCTTCCCTCCTCTTCCTTAACATTCTCGCATTTGCTGCCCTCTACTACAAGAAGGACAAGCGCCGGCACGACGTCCACAGGCGCTGCAGCCCCCAGCGGAGCGCCGCCAATGACCTGGCTCACACCCAGGAGGAGGAGATCATGTCCCTGCAGATGAAGCAGCACTCGGACCTGGACTGCAGGGGCGTGGGCGACTCTCTGCACCCGCACGACGTGGTGCTGAGGACTGCCTGTCCGCCGGACTACACTCTGGCCATGAGGCGTTCACCGGACGACATCCCGCTCATGACGCCAAACACCATAACCATGATCCCGAGCACCATGGGGGGGCTCACCTCGCTCCACTCTTTCAACACCTTCCCCAGCAGTGGGCAGAATAACACCCTTCCCCATCCGCACCCACACTCACATTCCACAACCCGGGTATAGCCCTGTGGAAGCACCCACACAGGCAGGACTCTGACGGCTGAGCCAAAAACGCCAACTGCTGCAGCAGAGACTTAAGGGCGACATGATGACTACCGCAGATATGTCAGGAGCTGAAAAGCCAGCCTGGAGTTGCTGGGAACCAATGGAATCACACTGGGATTTTACAACACCCTGTTAATACCTGAGGGAATATAGTCAAAGGATTTCTGGGGGTTTGGACCAGAGGAAAAAAATAAAAATAATGATGTTTTTTTTGTAGAAAAATAAAAGACGTACAGAAAAAACTACACATAAGGAGTCGAAGAAAAACAACCTCACATGCTAAAACAAAAAGGAGGATATTTCTTTTGTATTGTTATTTTTCGTTCTGATATTTCAGCAAGACAAGGTACAGTAAACTACTTTTTCTTATAGCGACAGATATGGCCTTCGAGGCTTTTTGACAAATGACTGCTTGACAGTATTATCTGGGAGCAGAACAGAGCATCAGACACGCCTCGGAGGTAAGAAGAGGGGAGTGCTTTGTAAAAGAAAGAAAACACAGTGTTTTTCCTTTGGCATCGCGCAGCAGATTACTCTGTTTGCGGGGCGCGGAGTAGATGAGGTGCAAACCAATTTAGGCATGTGTTAACTTCATAAATGTAAGATAAAACAATTGTTGAAGACAACAAAGGAAGGACTGGGAACTCTGAGGAACAAAATTAATCCTATATGCACAATGGAACCATTTTTTGAGGGGGAGAAAATGTCACAGATACTTTTCAGCCATTTATTTTTGAAGAATGGGAACAATTTTATTGTATAGAACCTATTTACATATCTAGATCTGTACACTAAGCACCAGGCTGTTTAAGCCCTCTTCTCTTAGGTGGGGGGGTGGGCGTCTATACTGCAAACCTGCCAGCAGGAATGAACCAGTGGGAATCGGGGATCCACCTACTGGCTTCCTGGTAGTTCCAACTTCAACACAGAGAGCTGGGGGACAAAGGATAATTGGATATTTTAGCACGATGCGCATGACAATTTATCTGCTTGATGGCTGCTCTGCTGATTATGTCATTATTAAGAATAATTTTCACCCTCTACCTTGCATTGGAGCTATTTCTGACGGATTTCCTGATTGGATTACAGGAAAACAAAGACCCTCGCAGGAACATGGGAAATACAGTTCCAAGGTTTGTTGCGATGATAGTGGCTCAAGTTGGAGAACAGAAAAAGGGTGGGGGGGTGGGCTTGGATTATGGTAAAACTATCTTGCATAACTTAATATAGCTTGAGTGGAGCTGGGCATATAAGGACTAGTTTTGTACTCTGTGTGTTGGTACTACCTTTTGATAGTGGTTAAATCACATTTCACTGTATCAATCAAACTCATCGTACCTTCAGTTGAGATCAATGTTCTTTGCTATTCTACCTATTGGACCACTATAGAAGTAATTACCTGCACTGTTTATTTCATTGCCCACTTTCTCTTCTTATTTTTTTTACTGAAAAATGTGTTGATTGATTGACGCCCAAATGGTACAGGACAAAAAGGAGAATCACATGGCTGTGTAGCATTTCTTTTCATATATCCAGCCAGGAGATGTTTAAACATGAATGCCCGAACACGACTAGAACAAGTCAAAGGCCAAGCACAGACAGATCACATTGGGTGGAACTCTCGAGAAACAGCTCGTGTCACGGTAATTATTTAGTTTTTATCATTAGCCAATGTTAATCATTTATAGAGGCATATTGTCTTATGGGAAGAAAGAAGAAAATACCTCCCATAAAAGTCAACCCTCTTCACCTCACTCTAAAGAGCTACTTCTTTTCTTATTTTGGCCACACTTTTTTTTCTGCTAAGATTCTCTACCGTCTCATCTTATATACTGAATTGACAGGTGGGGCTGTTTAGCAAAACGGTTCCCCCTAGCATCCGCAGCGCCTTTAGTTTACTGTCTACTGCAAGACTGTCTGCTAACATCTTAAGGTCAGTGAGGCCTCAGCGGCTAACAATGTTAGCAAAGTGAGAAAGAATGTGTCACGCTGCAAAGGAGACTGCAGTAGGATCCAGTCGCTTAAGAGACTTTGTTGGGGATAAGGTGGTGATCTTTAAAACAAAAAGAGAGCGGAGTCCCCTAGATGGCAATCCTATTGTGCTCAGAAAGAATGCTGGCAGAGAGATGCTACTTGGTAAGCTGAAACGCTTGTCTCCCTGTTTCCCTTTCACTAAAGTGTAGATGTTTGGAGGCCTCTGTTGTGAGAATACATCCTGCCCCCTTTGGCTCGCTCACAGGCACTGTGCAGTCATTCAAAATAATGAGTGCAGACTACTGTTACCCCATATAACTCTGCAGCAGACAAGCTGGGTGAGGGGGATACAATCTAGTGTGTCATAGTGAGGGTGGCTTTCCGGGATAAGATTTTAAATGGAATAAACTAATTACATTTGTGTACTCCAGATTCTTTCTCTGGATGAAATGAACCACCAAGGCTTGATCTGGGATTTGAACAAAAGGAAGATTCCGAGGCTTTTATCACACATCATTCTCATGGGCCAGGGATTTTTTTTAATACCCTTCTCTGTAAAAATAACACAAGCCAACATCATAAAAGAAGTGTGAATTTCCGAATCTTGGAACAATACGCACTGTAGGACCGTTGGCATTTTACCGACAGGCCAAACCTTTTCAGCTCTAACACTCAGCCTGCCTGTTTCTGATCTCCCACACACATACATAACATATGCAAATTACAATTTGCGTGGAAACATGCTCACACACAACTATGTGCTAAATGATTAGGATTTTCAAGTGTTTTGGTATCTACTTAATATATTGTACAGTATATAGACTAACAACCTGATTGCCTGCCCTTGGACTCAAGATGTATTAGACCCATGTGAAAAGCTACAAGACTTTGTTTTGGTAACCCAAACCAATGGCTGAAAACCATTTAACAAGATGTTTGTAAAGCCTTGAAAGGAAAATTAAATACTGATGTTGCCTAAATAGCCTTCTGGCAGCAACATGCCCTTAAAAGCAAGACAAAATAAGAACCTCAAAAAATATTTATACATAACATTTCATTTTGAAATATTCACCATTGTCTAACTTTCAGCTGTGTGAAGATCAAACTAAAAAAAATTATGACCGAACCCTAATTTCAACTATAAGGCTATAACTATTATGTGTTCTATGAGGTTAATCCAAAGGAGCACACTCTCATACTACCATAACCATGGTAAAGCAAAAAGGAACGGTAATTTTTGTATTTAATTTCAATGAATGTTTAGCCAATTTGACTTAAACCTTCGGGCCAGGATCATTCATTGAAATTAATTAGATGTCATCCATTTGAAAAACCTGTATGCTGTGCACCAAAACCTTCACTATATCTTTTGTTTACTATAGAGAGAAACAAATTCATAACATAAAGTAACAAATAATGATTCAATTTCATTCATAAAAATCTGTTTTTGGCCAGTGTATATCATTTGCATCGCAAACGTCGTTAGCTAAGATTGGTCAGGCTTCAACATGCAGCTTTGCTAATTATCTGAGGCAAGTCACAACAAGAACTATGCAATCGCCTAATCTGACACAGTGGCCATCTCAAAGAAAATAACGTTGTGTAGTCTAATCCGAACATGAGACCTAATATCACAGTGTGCTGTGGCCTTTCCCTTCATGGTGATCTATTTAAAACCATCCTGGGTCACAACATGCCTGCTTTTGTGTCATTGTTGTCCACTACAGGGCAACCGTAAACCATTTAAGGTTTAAACTAAAGTACAATTGCGAAACAAAATACAATAACATTAATTGGGTCTTGTCAGCCTACACAATAGTCATCACTAATTTAACAACACATATATCACAAGGATAGGGATAAAACCTTAGTACCCATCCAGTCCCTGCTCTACAAATAAATTACATGGGCCAAAGCAAAGGCCACTCATTGAATAAAACATGTAATTGCCCTAATGGGTAAATAGTAGAGCAATTGCAATGCCATGCTAAGTATCTGACAGCTGAGGGTGAATGCTAAATAATAGCTAACCGATGATACATGATAAATGCAGGCCAACTGTAGTGTGAGAGAAGAAGTGTTGGTCAGCACCTGACATATTAGAGATAAAAAATGGAAATTGCTAGAAGCTGTTGAACGTACTAATGTCGGCAGCAGCTAACATGATTTAGCATGTGTGGTGACTACACAAGTACTGCCGGATTGCTTGAGGATGAAAAAGTGCACTGACTAAAAAGTTGTTGGACAGAAGGTGCTGCGATGACTCATGAATCAAGCGTTACATAAGCGAGGAAATGCATTAAATAACTTTCCCATGCCTTACAACCGACAGAGGATAAGCATGAATCACATTTAAACAGTATCATTAGTGGGAACAATTGCAACTTTTAAAAGTAAAAGCAGTGGATGACCTTCACACTCCTGGAGAGAAGCGCTGGCTGTCCAGATTGAGGGTGCTAATCAGAGCGTGACCTACTGTATCACTATTAAACCTACAGAAGTCATAAAAAAGGACGCTAGGAGATTGATTAAATTGTGAGCTAGCAGCACAAACTGAGGGTCAGTTACAGTAGACCTTAGCATGACTGATTTTAGCAACAGCTAGCTGATGCTTCGCTGCTGATCAATGAGTTTAGAAATATTTTAAATATACCAGTAAAAAGAGAGACTGTGAATAACCACTCACTCGACATTAATGGAGGACTGACCACATAAAATGAGCCTGAAGCACTTGCTTGCTATTATTATTGGTAGACTGCTCCATAAATGTTATAGATAGCATGTTATTTGACTAATTGCATAACAGTCTATCAGAGTCATACAATAAGTAGGCTTTATCAATTTGAACCTCTTAACAGCCCCAATGTGAGCAAATAGGCATCTGACATAGCATTGTTGAGGTTTTTCATATTTATTTCACCAGTTTGTGTTAACATGTCATATGCTACATGTTTAGCTGTCAGCTAGCTTAGTGTGTGCTCAGCTGTTACTGTATGCTGTTGTCTACACATACTTACATCTGGATATCAATTGGATATTAAAGATGCCCTGTGAAGTTTTCTTTTTCTCTAGAACATTTGGCAAAACTTTTTTGTGAGTTCTAGAAATGTAATCTTTTCTCTTTTTTAGTTTGGTTGCTTGTTCTTATTGCACATCACCTTCTCTAACTGTTGATTTGCATTTTAGTGTAATACTCAGCCCCATGCTCTTGACTTGTGTTTGTATGCAGATAAACGCATCTTCTATTCAGAAAAACACGGTTGTGGGTATACAGTAGGCTACAATATACCAACATGACTGGTCATCTATCATTGAAACATCGCTCAACAGCACCACCGGTGGTCAAAAACTTCACAGGGTACCTTTAATGTCAAAGTTGCTTTTAAGTAAGGGCTATGACTAACAGACTAGGGCTAACAATAATGACTACACTGTTTCAGTTAAGTTATTCTCATCAATATTGAAAAGAGCTATTCGGCAATATTGTCATTCACATTAACATGTATTTGATTTCAAGAGAAAGCATTTTCCTTATTCAAGTGTTCAATTAACACTAATGTTAACACTGTACATACTGTATGTAATCACAAATTGCTGCTATGATATCCTAAGTGATGGCTGACATGCCCCAAATTCCTGTAGATAATAAATTCACTAAATTCTGAAAGCAAGTATTTACCAAGTATTCAGGATTTTTCCAGGACGTTTTTACATTCCTCATCAATGTAAAACGATTAGCGTTTACACACGAATAGTGCACTCAATCTCCAAAATTATTTTAGGAGCTCCTTACAGGGCCTTACACCCACCTACCCTTTGATAGAGGAACCATTAGGCCTTTAAACTCAGAACTAATAAGAGTAAAACATAACTGGATTGTTAAACAGTCAAATAAATATGAAAATAAGCTCAACTTTAACTGCAGGCTTGATACTGTTATGTGCCGTGGCAATTTAAACAGGGATGACTATTTTCAGAGAAGGGTATACCTTTTGTTGAAATTCACCAGACCATAAAAACAGATTTTTTTTCACACCTTTTTCAAATAAAGTCTCTGATTTATGACTACATTAATGTTTGGTAGACAATGAATATTTTGAATATTCCCTCGATGCTTTGTGGTCAGGACACTGAACAGGTGCAGCATGCAGGAGTGTGTTTCCTTGTGTGTTTGGTAAAACACAT